CAGGTTCAACTAAGAAAATATGTACTCTGCTTTGACTCAGTAAACTCATACTTGGTATGGTTCATCTTCTTCATATTTACTTTTGCCCATATTAGAAAACAATTAGCTTACTAAACAAATTTGAGTATTTGGGAAGAAAAAATCTACTTTGAGTCTCTCTCATTTGACTAAGAATTACATGATATTTGATAAGCTTGTTTAAAAATGGACATATCCAAATATTATTGTAAACACCCATTGATTTGTTTTACCTGCAATATAAGTATTTTACTTAGTTGGCTTACATAGTAGCTAATAATATTTGTTAATGTAATTTAACTGCTGTGAACCTTTACTGAACAAATATTGAAATTTATACAAGTCAAAGAAAGAGAATCTCTAATGACTTTTGTAAAAGCTTCCATTTAATAGTTAAGGAGAAAAGTTTATATGACATACCAGATGCAATTAACAGTAGATTTTACATTTAATAAAAAGAAAGAAGCATATGTATTTGCTTTATTCATTCCATCATAATTTGCATTAGAGCTGTGGGTGTTTAATGAGCAAATTCCAGCTAAAATGCTATATTGATTTTCTAAGTGAACTTTGTAATAGCTATCTACCTTACAAAAGCTCTCTGTTTACAATTGTTTTCTTTACTAAAAACTAAAAATGTTTTAGAATTGATGAGTTTAGCATAATGATTCTTTTAAAATAAAGAGCTCTTTTAGAGTATGCAGGGGTTTTAGTTACAAGGAGAAAGATGTTATTAAATTATTCCAAAGCAAATAAAGTTTTTGCAACTAAATAGTAATGTCATATTTGTATATGTTGCAACATTTACAAACATTGGAAAATAATCCTTTTTTCTTAATTTAGCACTGTGGGATTTAAATATTTTAACTCTTGAATGTCATTATATGTATATGAATCAATAAATGACACAATTCATTTTAGCTTAATACTTGACTATTCATACTTCATTTTTGTGTGTCATTTTCTTGCTTGAAACATGAGTTCTGTAAGAATTTGTGTTTCTTGTTGGTCAGGCCTCAAGATAAACAGGATAGGGTTGGTTGGTGCACCATTGGAAGGTCTCCAAGAAAAACCTCATGGTGTCGACCAGAGCAGTTAGTGACTAAGTAGCTGGATCACTTTTTTCATTGGATCAGGAATCAAGTCAGCGTGCCAGTATGGGGCTAATAGTCTGCTGGATATGCCATATCTTGAATGGGATTTAGGAACCTGACTTGTTACTCTCAATTAATTTTTTCCTGGCATTTTTAAGAAGCATAGGGATGATAATCTGGATATTCTTTACTCTTTTTAATATGGAGGATTCTTATGTCACTCTCTCTCATAGATTTTTCATTGGACACCTTATACTTCACATACTTTCTGAAATATGGCACAAAATGTTTTGATTTGCTGCTGCTTTACAACCCAAAGGTGTATGTATTTCAGTGGCTTATTGGAAGAATTGTGTGATCTCTGTGGTCCTGAACTTCTACTTGTGACTTATCCGTAGCTCAATCTGAATGGTAAATGTTAATGTTAACAACTTCATATTTCGGACTACCTGCAATTGTGTAACTGTTATAATATTCCATATGGTATTAAAAAAATGAATTCGTAAAATATTAAATAGAGTCAGAAATGTATAGGCATTGGCTAATAGAAATGTCTAACCTAAATTCAGCAGAAGCTTTGGCTGGTGAAGGAATCAGGTGAGCTAGCCTTCTGTAGACCATTAAAATGAGTTAGACAAGGACTTCAAGTATTTTTAAAATTTGTAATTTCTTATGGTCAGTGTCCGTGTTGCTACATGGTGTTAAAATGCTGTGTAGCTAAGTATCTTATTTTAAACTCAGGTTGCCATGCAGACATCTTACATAATTTTCTATACTCTCCCTAATCTGTTTTGATATGAAAAAAATGTCTTGCAGTATTACTTTTTAAAAATAGAAGTAAAAGCCAAACACTTGTAATTGATATGGAACTACTATAATTTTTTTTAATGTAGTTGATGGATCTAGTCATTGGGATATTCACTCCAGTGCCTTAATTTAGTGGAAGGATAAGAAAATAACAAGGAGTTTTCAGTTTAAGTCACTTCTCCATAGCCAGTTGTTAAAACCCAGTATTTTGTAATGGACCTCTGAGTGGGGGAAGGGTTCACTGTTCAAGGCAATTAGCCTCTGGACTGCTATCAGGAACGGTAAGATTTAAGATAAGCAGTATGGTTAAGTAACTTTAAAAATCTCTTTTTCTGAATGTTTTCATGCTGTTATATATACTTTAGTTTAAGGTCAAATAAGCAGTAATCTGGTTTTAAAAAGCCTGTATAGTCGTCATTACCATTGGTTATAGTTACACAGAGAGGGAGTTAGATATGCCAAAACGCAGTCCCCCTATGTGTACTTGCATGCTCAAGATCCATTGTAGCAGTCAACAAATTGTGGTTTTCCATGCTGAGATGGGGATATTATAAGGTCTAACAGAAGAAGGGATGCACTCAGAGACCAGAAAGAAGTTAACTAATCTGGAAACTAATTAACCCCAGAACAGTAATAAGTGCCAATACTGCAGTTATTTTAGATAGCTTTCTATTTATTCCAGCAATTGTTTTCATTATGAAAATTACATAATGTTTCCACTTGCAACTTTATGGAAAGGGTTCTCTGTGCAGTGTCTCTGGCATGATGCCAGATAAACTGACATAATTTACTGGAAAAACTGCAGTAAACAAATATTTTAAGGTACAGATACGTAATAATTTATCATACATAATTGAACTGCTTGTGTATTCCAGATCCAACTGGGACATAGCAATTGCACTGTAGTTTACCCAGGCACTGGTTTCCCTGCCACCACAGGTCTCCACAACCTAAGTGGAAGTCTGGTGAGAGGAAATGCACAGCCCACCTCATAAAATTTGTTCTTGTTACTAAGCCACCTACCTTTGCAGAGGTCAGACTCATCCTTTGCAAGTGCTGCAAACTTGTTCCTGACTACCAGTCTGTGCACATGTAGTTTTGCAGCTTCTTTAATCATGCCTTAGTTTTTCTATTCCACATCAAGCAAAGCTTTCTTGTTACAAACAGGAGAAATAGATCTTCAAGAAAAAAGACACTATTCTTGTGGAATGAGTAAATACTCAAATAGAAGAGAATTAAATCAGTGTTTGTTAAATTTTGTGTACATTTAAAGATTTGTGCTTCTGTTGCCAATTTTTTTTTTGTTGGGATGCAACTTGTAACAGCTCTGGCCTGATGACTAGGCTTGCAGCTCCTCTGCAGATTTTTATGAGAGGAGGGACTGCCTTTCCAGAAGTAACATTTAGCCTTTCCCTGTCTTCTTTTGTCCAGTCTGATGTTATCATGCAACCTTTTGCTAGACCTGCAAAAAATGCTAACTTACTCCTCAGTAACACTCTTCTTCCTCAGTTTGAGGACAAGAGGATTGCTTTCCTGCCTTGAACATCTTCCTAATTCATCTCTCCAAACTCTTTCTCTGTTCATCTTCTCACTTGTCTTACATCCCTGGTTATCCAAGCTGCTTGTGAATTGTATGGAAAGTTACCACTTTTTGTATTTCAGTTGGTTGGGGAGTTTTGGAGTTTTTTCAGTACTGATGAAATGTATTTTATGCCAGCAATATAGCTGCTACCAAAATGTACTACTATGTTCCTATTGTTCCATTCTGTGAAGAGCCATAAAGTGTTTTATGTTATGTCACACTGTGAAGTTTTTGTACAATAATGTACAAAGGTGAAGTAAGAGTAAATTAATGTATAAAGGCAACAAAATTTATGTCAATTGCTGTAAGAATGGATGGATAAAAACTCTAAAGTGAAGAGGAAGGAAGCCTTTCTTTGAGAACTTAATGACTTCAGCAGTGGTTCAGAAAGGAGCAGAGAGTTCTGAAGGGGATAAGGAAGCCCAGGAGCAGTGGCTTAATACAGAAGTTTCTTGAGAAATAAATGCCAGAATTTGAAAGAGACTGTAGTGTGGTGTTAGGAGACTGTGGCTAAACATCAGCTTGGAAGATTAGGAGGGGAGCATGGAGAATTCTGGAACCTACAGACCTCAGCTGAGTTTTTTGAAGGTGCTTGTGACAATCAGAGAAGATACACTCCTCTGTCGTGCAGTGACAACAGTCTTACTATGGCATCCCAAAAGCCCCTAGACGTTTAGACTGCAGGGTTTTATGATGACTGTGAGGAGAGATTTGCAGTATTGCAGAGGGAAATGATGAAAGTATGAATAAAGATTTTAGTGGAGGCAGGGTCGAGGTAAGGATTCTGGCGGTGTGCCAGAGATTGTGTTAGACATATTGACAGGGGAGAGGCAGGGAGAAGACGTAAGCTCGGGATGAGGAATGACTTGAAGGTGTTAGTTTGCTCCCAAGGATAGACGGTAAATCTTAGTTTATTGGCACCTAATGCTCCAAGGTCCATGTATGCCGTAACAGATAATATGACAGTATATTACACAATAAAGTAAAGGCTTGGCAGAGAAGGAGAGATGCCAGCTGTGCCACTCTTCTGATACCAGAGACAGACTATGAAAATATTAGAATTTTTAATATCTAATATCAGTGTGTGACCCTGATAGGAAGCAGTGTGATGGTAGAAGTAGTTTTAATGGATCATTATTTTTAACTCTGTGTCCTAGAAGAAACCTGCTAGTGTCTCATATGATTCTGAGCTTTAAGAATTACTTTTCCATTAAGCAAGTATTCAGAATGCAAAGCAAATTGCTTCCTTGCCCTGTTTAATTATACAGGGATGAATTTGAAAACACATAGCTTTATTTCATTACTTAAAGTATTCATTTTAGCAATCAACACCAATTTAGTGTTGTGTCTGAAGAGTAATACAGACCTTATCCAGACTACTGTGAGGTCAGTGGAGAAATGTCGATTTTAAGAGATGCTGGCAAAGGTCCATGGAAGTGCATTTAATAGTGTCTTTCCCTGTCACACTTGTTTGTTAAACATACGGGTTACTTTTGCAGCTCTGGTGGAAGAAGTTTATTCTGCTCAACGGGAACGTGATGAGGCTGTTATGGCAAGGCTTAGGTTAGCCAATGAAGAGAGAGATGAAGCATTTCTACGAGTCCAGCGTTTAGAAGAGTCTCTCAGAGAGTAAGTATACATTTCCTGCCCTGTGCAAAAAAGGTTATGTCAGTCTGTGACTGTCATAAACTGCTTGACAGTGGTTATATAGGAAAACTTAGCACAAACTTCTCTATAATGAAATACCAGGCTAATGCTAGTTTTACCGTGCTACTGGTTAATTTATTAGCCATCCTATAAGACTGTATTTTTCTCTGGAGACTGAGAGCAAGGTGGATAATTTTGATCACAAAAATTAAAAATATAATCAAAAGCTTTGGTATTGATTTATTCAGAGATAAATAAGACAAATGTGACATTTTATAGGGATCTTTTGAAACAGAGTACCAGAATGTCAGTCAGAAGTTGCAATGTATAGGAAATCAATCGAGCCTTTAAGACCACTAGACATTTCATTCAGCAAAATTTCTACTAATGATGTGAGTGACACAGGAAAAATATATGGTTTTGTTCTTATCTTTAGTGTAGCAGCAGTTTGTAAGGCAACAAGGGTATAATTAATACTTCATAGAATTTTATGTATGCCATGTTAACAAAAATAGGCAACCTCATGTTAAACAAAACTGCTAAGTCAGGAGAGGAAGATCAAGAATAGTTTCTATTCTCACTTCAGGATATAGGCAGCTTTGAAACTACAATTTACCTCTCCGTGTAATCCTTCTCCATCCGAGTTATGATCATCTTGGTTACCATCTATGGTAGTCCCTCAAAGTCTAGAGTGGCTGAGAAATTTCCCCTATTTTTCTGCAAAGAGAAATACAAAGAAAACAGAAATTTTCCATGGTAAGAGACTGAATAGGTGCAGTTGTTAGTTAACTGAATGGCAAGCAATTATGTTTTAAATAATTGTTTCTACTAAGAACACTCTTTCCTCTTTATGGCAGAAAAACAGTCGTCTTCTTTTTGGTATTTTTGTAGGTAAGGCCAGAGAATGTTATCTAAATAAATTTCAATAATCTGCACGTAGTTTGTGCACCATTACTCTGTGGAATTTACAAGTTGCTAGAGTTTGTCACAGCCTGTAAGTATGACTTAACGGCAAGATTAGGAGATTCCACTCCCACAAGAACTAGTGCACAATTTACTAGAGTAAATGTCTCTACAGAGGCCATTATAGGTGTACATGCATTTGAAATCTTGCTTTAAGCAGCAATCTCTGAGGAAAGTACAAATGTGCTTTAAATTCCCATAAGAGGCATCATAACTGTGAGCCTTACTCCAGTCTTTCCAACTTCTCTTGTCACTTTTCTAATTTTATATGTTCCAAGAGTAAAGAAAGCAAGGAAGTTTTGTATGGCCTCAGACATTAAATGAAGCTGTGTATAAGCTGTTAGCATAAACTCAAGATCTTTGAAACTAGATGATCTTTAGGGTCCTTTCCAACCCCAATCATTCTGTGATTCTATGAATAAAATCCTTAGGCAGATCTCAAGCAGGCTTATGCCTCTCATAGGGCACAAAGATGTTGCTGAAGGGTTCTGAAAATTGTTACATGCTTTTATTTTCTTTGGTAGTTTTAGTGTCAATCATCAGAGCAGTAAAGGAAAAACCCTAATTGACAAAAGCCACAAAGGTAGAGAGCCCAAAAGCTTTATTCCCACTGTAAAGTTTGTTAAGGTTTGTTAATCATCCATGCAGCAAGTACTTAATGGTAATGGATTGCTAGGCATTAATTGCCATATGCAATCCCCTGCAAGGGAGAAAACCTCATTCTTTATGTTCAAGTAATCATCATGTTAACTGCATCAGATATCCTAATATCTGCCTCTTTCCTTGCTTTGTTACTCATTCAGCCAAACTGCAAGTTTGATAATAATGTCTTAAGCCATATCAGACAGTGTAAGATTTCAAAGATGTCTTGCTTCGTTCCACCAAGTTGTATTCAGTATTACCTCAGCTCACAGTGACTGCATCCATTTGCGCAACCTGACCAAGGTCAAGCTGACCACAGATCTTCCCTGACCCATATCACTTCTCTGTGTGACAGCACCTTCTAGATAATGTATTTATTTCAAAAAGAGCAATGGTATGGTACAGGGAAGCATTTCCTGTTGTGATTATTGGTTTGTGGGGTTTTGTGTTCTTTTTTTGAGCAAAGTTCTTTGCTTGTTTTGAAGTTTTTGGACATTACAGAACCAAGAAGGCGGGATTGCCTCCATCAGGCTCAGCTGATTTTCTTCTGATCCATTTATTCGAAGTTTACAGGATGTTTATTCATGCAGCTGTACACCTTGCAAACAAGGAATGGTTGAGTGGAGCCAGGATTCCTGCTGAAACAGCAGCCTGGCTCCAGCACTCAGGTTTCTCAGAACATTGGGCATCTTTACTAACTGGAGTAACATCTCAGATGAGGTGACAAGACATGCATTTCTATATCTGCCTGGTTGTCTGGCATTTTGCAATGGGAGTAGCAAACCAGGACTGTGACTGAGAAGAATCAAATTGAGGTGCTGCATTTTCAGAAGCAGAGTCAACCCCATGAGGAAATTACTTTTCTCAGCCTCTTTATTCTAAGTAGTTTATTACTGTGGCTGAATGGAAATTTTTTTTGGAGTTCACGTCACCACTTTACTAATCCTTTGGAAGGAGCAGAAATGATGGGATGAACCATGAGGGACTTGGTTTATTTTATTTAACTTTGGAGTTTCTTCTGGAATCTTGGAACATTTCCAACCACCACCCTTAATGTTTTCTTCCTGATTCTGGTTGTTCAAAAGATCAAGTTCTCTGTCTCAGATATGTTACACATAGAGGTTTGGGGTTTTTTAAAGAACATTGGCTACTGGTGCCACACTCATCAGGTTTTAGAGTACAGGTCACTCCTTCCATCTGCTTTGGACTTACTCCAATCAGAGATCTTTACAAGAGGGCAATATTGAACAACCTGCCAACCTTTGTCAAACACTTTAATGCTTTCTTTAAATTAGCAGCTGGAGCCATTCTGTTGTCATTATTTAACTGTAACAACCAAAATTCTTTCAGTCCTGTTGGCCCTAGGGGTTATGTTAGCGAAATGTGTGTAGAAATGGGAGAAAGAGGAATCCTTGGTTACTACTGTTTAAAATCATGAGAGATCTAAGGGTCACTTATTGTCTGTGCCCAGCACGGGGAGAGACAACAGGGCAAATACACAGCTTCAGATGCTGCTTTTTAAAAAATACTGTCACCTAAGGAGGTGTATGCACACCTACAGACAGATCCCTTGTGGCAGTAGTATGCTGAAGGGCTACACTTACAGTTGATGTTCCTATTCTTTTTCCCACCCCCATTTCTCCCTAAAGTGTATTGCTTACCCAGCCTCTTGGTTGGCTGGGTGGTATTGTTGACCCACACTTTTAGCAGGGTAGAAGTCCTCTGGAGAAGCTGGGTCAGTCCTGCCAATTTACTTTGACAAATACCGTTCCTTTCATTGTGAATACAAACTAGCTGGGGATCCATTTTTAAGTCCCACATGAAAGGGCAGTTAGAGAAAGGTAAAAACCTAAAGCAGGAACTCTACAATTTGCCAAATCAAGGATCCGGTTCTGAGAATTTGGATTTATAATATGTTTGTTACTTTATGATTTGTGTTACTTTATGAATGCAAGTGAAACCCAGCAAAGGTTAGCTTTTACTTTGTTTCGTTTTGTTCTGATGCTGACTGTACATGTTGGAGTAGTTACCACTTGTGAATTCCATATAAATAAACCAGCTGTTGTACACTGGTAGTGCATTCTGACTTATTTCTTTCTAATTTAAAGAATTAATTTCTGTACCTGTTGATTTACTATGCTTTATATACTGTTATCTGGTAAAACTAATGCTTTAATGTAAAAGGTGCTAGTGTGCTGTCAAATGGTCTATGATGTTTGCTAGCTAAAATCTCAGCTTCAGAGAAGCATCTGTCACAGCACTTTTGAAAAAGTGTGTGTAGCTGTTTAGTGGTGCTATATCTGTCTTATTTTAAAATATCGTATGCTAGTGACAGACCTACTTTTAGTAGAAGTCACCATTAAGTAAGAAGCAAGGGAGTGGTAAGGTAACTTTAATATGCTGATTTTTCCAGAAAAGAGGTCTCTTCCATTTTAAATACACGTAGGTGTTTTAAATAATATGCTGTCCATATAACTAACCTTAGGTAAAATAAAATGCATACTATCCCATTTATTAAATTTTTGTGTTATCATTCACTGCTTTTGCACAGCAAGTGTTCAATGCTGTATGACTAAATTCCTCGTATCATCTTTGTATTTGACAGGTCAATATATGTTCTGTTGAAATAGAAAGGGAGGAAAGTGCAGGGGGGGTGTTCCAGAATTAAGTAAGGGCCTTGCAGAGAATTGGCTTAGCTTTCTATTTTATGCAATATATAAAATCCAAATATTTTTAAGGAAACTTCAACTAGGTTTTTTGGAAGAGAGTAATGGAAAAAGAAATACTTTAAATTGAAAAAATAAAAATAAAAATTCCACAAAATTCCTGTCCTATTTCATTTGGGGTACAGTAAAAACAACAAAAATACGACATCAGGTAAAAGTTGTAAGCCCAGAAATAAATAAAATAAGAGCATCAGTCATTTCTATCACTGGGGAACTTTCTTCATCTAAGCACATATGAACAATTGATCCTTGTAGTCATATATAGCAGTAAACATTAATAACTTAACAGTCTGAAGTCAGTGCTGAAGATATGGAGCATTATTGAAAGATGGAGTCGAGCAGGTGGCACTTTAATATGTTCAGTGTCATGGTTGACTCTAAAGACTAGTAGAATGAAATTACTTGAGGTTCTAAAGATTTAAAAAGCGAACTCATTTTGCTGCACTAAGGAAATGCTACTGATCAGGCTTTCTGTGTCCCTTTTTTCTAGGCTAGAAAATATTAACCCTGAAGAAAATGACATGGTAAGCCATTCTCTGAGGAGATTTCTTGATGTCAGTCTTATATCTTAGAGGCTTAAGTTCAATTGAGTGGGTTTCAAGAACTAAGATGTGGGAAAAAGAAGAATTGACACACTAATAATGTACATCTTTGCTGCAATATGAAAATTCAATAACTTCACTCAGTCAATTTACAATTCACATGTGCCTATTAATTAAAACCCTATATTAAATAAAATATATTAAAACTTCATGTCTGACTAACATATAATGCTGTTGGTAGACATTACAGGAATTACTGAACAGAATAAACAATGCAGACACAGGGATAGATATACTGAAGAATGGAGCTGTAATTCTGAATCGAATACACAGGACCAAAGAACGTAAAAAGAAAATAATAGCTGAGGAAATGAATGCAGTAATAGAACAACGGGATGCTGCTTTGTCTCAAGTAAGTTTCTGCAAGTATATAATCACTCAGTATAATTTTTTTTTTCATTTTTTCTTTTTTTTGATTTATTTTTGGGGAAGGAAATGATTTTATTTACTTTTCTCTGATTAAAATCACAAAGAGAGCCCTTGTAGTAAATGGCTGGCTAATGATCAACTGTTTCTTTATGGCAATAGTGCCCATTGAAATAGCATCAATGCGTTTCATGAGAAAAGTTATTTTTATATTTTTTGCACCTGATCAATAACTGTGTCCTTTTTTAAAAACAAAGTAGTTTTCAGTGTATTGACCAATATAAAAAGCTATTAAGGGCTTGTTTTTGCAGATATAATGCATTGGATGACAGTTAACTAGGACTCAATGATTTGTAAAGGGTTATAAGTGGCAGAAATATACATTAAAGGAATATAATGGTACCACATGCAAGAATGCAAGCAATTCCTCCCTTTGTTGCTTTATATTCAGGAGATAAAAATAAGCATGCGGTCCTTGACTCTCAGAGTCTTATGCTTATGCTACATGAGTTGAAAGAACCTGAGGTCCTTTTTCTGCTCAAATCACTCATTCTCTGCAATTTCCTATTTTCACAGAACAGTACTGTCTTCATTCTCTTCACTATGAAGAGAGTCTCATTGCTTTTCCTATCTCATGGAAGAGTTTTTCTGTTGGTTTGTTTTTTTTTTTTTCTCCACAGTTTTCTTTCCTGGATTTTAACCTAGATTTAGCTCAATAGCAACAGGCTGTAGGGAGAAGCAGTCCAAGTAGGGGATATATCTCCTAGGAAAACACAGGATTTTAGACTGGTTGAAACTCTTTATGTATTCATCCCAGCCAAAAAATCTCATCTAACTCTTCCAATATTGAAAATTTAGATTTTTAAAGTGAGTTACCAAAGTTAGCCCACGTCTGACTGATTTCTATTGAAGTCAGGTTTGTGATCTTGAGTGGTATTGATAATCTTGATTGAATTCATGTTGTATTGAGAAGGTAAGAGAGTCTCCTGGTAAGAGAGTCCCTTCTACACACCCTGTAATTTTCACTTTTTTGCAATTGTTTTTTCATTCTCTCCTACTTAAACCTTGAAAGCCCCATCTGCCTGGTGCCTAAAGTATTTTGTGTGTCTATCCAGTGTGAACTGTGAAGGACGTTAATTTTGGAAGATGTTAATGGTGGAACTTTATTTTTTCAGTCTACGTTATTTTGCTTCTATAAAAATGATGAGCAGCATAGCTACTGGGAAACATACAACAGTTCTGCCAAAAGTTTATGTTCTTTCTTCTTTGCACAGGGCATTTGAAAAGTGAGCAGCTTATAAGAAAAAAGCTTTCAGCAATAGAGAAGAATCTTTTTGATATTTTTATTTTTGTTTTGTCAGTTTTTGCTTCTTTGTTGAAGTAGACTTTCAGGCATACTTGGACCATAAAATTTTTATGAATGTCAGAAGAATGTCATTGTAGGGCATTTTAATATACATTTTAATTGAATTGATTTTTAAGCTGCCTGTTTAGGGAGTAATCTTTTTCAAGTAATCAGCTTGGAAATTAATAAAGATAATTATTTTATATAGTAATAGCTGAAGTGCCACAACTAGCAAAGCCATCTTTAGGCCTGTCAGCAAAAAGTACAGATAATATTAAATAGATAGTGCAGCTGAAAAAATAATAAAATAATAAGTGCCAGCTAAATGAAAATTTGAATATTTGGTATTAAGCTGTATTACTGTGATAATGTTTTCAATTCACAACACCATTGTTTTAAATTATTTATTATTAATAGGACTCTATTGATCAAGTGTTGTGTTTACACATTTATGATGCTTTTACAGCTGTAACTCTTGAATCTAGAAAATTGGTCCTTGGAACTGAAGCTACCATTTCAATGTGCATTTCGCACTTGATGATTCCTTGGGAATTCATACCGTATTTGAATTATTAGTAGTCTTTTGTTAACATTGCAATAGCGGTAGTTATTACAGTGCTAACAGCAAGAACAATAGGAGAGGGATTCCTCCATTAGACCACAAAGGGACTAGATATAATTCAGGGGATGTATATGCTTAGCATAACAAAAGCAAATTATAGGAAGTTAGATCTGAGGTTGCCTCAGGCATTCATAACATCTGCAAGTTAAAATCTTTTCGGTGGAGGTGACATCAAATATGAGGGAGGGATTGATGAGAGCAGGCCAAGACAAAGCAGAAATAGAGTAAACCATTCGTGTGCTGTGGCTATCCTCTGGAAAAGGCATTTTTAAAGTTCAGAGGTCACTGGGCAATGGAAGCTAAATGCTTCATGACACATTGTGTGAACACGGTGTTGCTCTGTTCCTACTTGCTGTTGTGCGGTGCTGGAGACAGCAATGTCATTTGGGTGACCACCGTATGACACAGAACTGCCTGTATGACAGAAAGGGTTTGGACTGACTGTGTTTAATGAAGCTGCATCGATTATCCTCTTTTATGGTTTTCTTGACAGTAGCCTGGCAGTTGACAATTGAGTACAGTGAATATAAGTAGTATCTAGCTTTGGGGGTTTTACTTGTAGAATTCCTGATTTTGCTCAGTAAGAAACAATAACACAAAAGCCTTCACAGCTCAAACACAGTGCTTTGATTTCAAGTAAGAAATAGGTTACATTCATAGAGAATGGACGTTTTAGAAACTGCGTGTTTCCTCTGACCAAGTAAATACAAAGTACTTTCAACTAGTCTTTGAAATAGAGTTTTGAAATAGTTTTTCTGATAGTTAGACTATTAAGTTACATTTACCTGGACTGCTATTGCAGCACACGTGATAATGGTTAGATAGTTGTGATTCTTCTATTTGGATTTTACCTAAATATTTCTTTTTATTCTTCAAAAAATGAAGAGCGCTGTCCATGTCTTGGAAAGGTCATGAAAATGTTTCTTTCAGCCATAACACTCAAGAAACTGCATATTTTTTTGACATTGCAAACGTGTATGTTACTTCTTACTAGGAAGGAGATAGAGGCACTTCTGTCACTGTATTGAGCTCTGCATGTGTATGTAATCTTAGATCATTCACTAGATTGCTGAGCAAATATGCAAACTACTTTTTGTGTGTGTGAAAACAAATAAAATGGTATAAACTCAAATATTTGATACTACTTTTAGTATGTATTTTCAAGTGAATAAAAAACAAACAACTAAAGCGTGGCTAAACATTGACATCCATCTTCTCCTGTACCAACCCCCTTAAAAAAACAAACTCAACTGTTTGGTTGTATTTGCTAAGATATGTTTGTTAGCGAACAGATATTGTGTTATACTGGGGAGCTTGAATCTGTTTTATGACTGATCCTCTGAAAGGAAAATGGAGAAAGATGCTGACTGTCATGAGAAATAAAACATCAGTTTCTTGTCTGTAATGTTCGTTTTTGCATTAACCCATTCAAGGAAAAACTTATTTGTCCAGTTGGTTGTACTACAGTTCTGCCTTTCTTCAGAAACCTTTTTGCTTGAGTAATCCAATTAGTGACAGACATTTAATAAAGATAACATGGCACAGTCACATTGTGTGATAAAATACTTTAAAAAAGTGATTTCCAGCAGGAGGCAATACAGTGCAATGTCTCAAACTAGCAACCACTTATTAACTACATCACACCTTATGGACAGGAATGTTAATATGATTACAGGGTTGGCAGCTGAAGCTGAGGACTTGAGTAAGTCATTGCAATTACTTCTCTTCTGGTTTAGAGAAGAAAGGGGACCTTTTAATTGGTACAGCTTGAAGGAAGTGATTTTTTTAAAGCTAATTAAGAGATGGCTTATAGTTCAGAAGATTGTGTGTTTGATAAACTTTCAGTCCTAACTTTAATTCTGTAAATGTGGGGGGGTTTTGAATTGGGAAGAGTCAGTTTTATACCAAGTTTTAAATATTAAAGGTGTAGAATTTGTTGTTAATGAAAAACAGTGGTTCCCTGGCTGGCAAAGTGTCATCTGTAATACACTGATCTTGAAGCAATAACATAACTGGCAAGCAAACCTGGTTTTACAGCTTTGAATAGTTTGATCACATCCTGCTGTGCAGGAACATGCTTATGACTGCTCATGTAAAAAATTGGCATGTACCCAGTTGCTCATCTGAAGCAGGTTTAAGTACCTTTCTCCATTTTGAGGCACTATTTGGCAGCAGACAGCACTTTATCATCATTGAAAACAAAGATGAGAAGCACTATGCTTGACTGCCCATCATTATCAGTTTCGACTAGTGACTAATAACTGATAAATGTCTGTGCTTACAAGCCAGCTTCTTGCTAACTTTTTTTTTTTTTTTACTTTCTGCTCAAGCAATTTCTCTCCTTTTCAACCAAATAAGGTGTAGAGCTCTCTGTTATCTGTGATTCACAGAGCATTAAGGCATACTCAGCGCACATGAGTGAACAGGTCTTATAGAAGTAATAAACCCAAGAGCTGTATGAAGTGTAAAAACAACAAAAGCATATGTAAATTCAAAAAAAAAAAAAAACAAAAACGTACAGATCTTGGGTCCTTAATTGGGGAATACTCAGGTAATGGGTTACAGTTGCTCAAGATTGTCTCATCTGGGGATAGAGGTGATTCCTTTGCAACCCAAACCACAGTTTGGGGTGTTATTTTTAGCAATTTGAATTAGAAGTTCAGTTTTAAACTCTGTGTTTTCGTACCCTTTGACACTTCCTGTTTAAGGATACCAGTTGAGTTCTTAGTTGGCATGTTTGACAGTGTCCTCCTAGCTGCTCTGCCAGGATGCTTCCTCTACTACCTTTTCCCATTTGCCACTGGTATTTGGGAATAGGGAAGAAAAGGTAGGACACTGTGTTCACAGCTGCTTGTGAGCCAGGCAGGTGCTGTGGGGTACTGATGATTTTGGTCATGGGCTTATTTGAGGAGGGAAGCGAAGGTAAAGATGTTTATTGTAATTTGAGGATACAAGGACCATGCCCTTATGCCTGGTTTCCTTTGGGCAGGCAACAGCAAGTTCCTGTTGTCCTCATTTG